TCCATACAATGAAAGTGGATAGGGACAGAGTGCAATATCACTTTATGGAAAAAAATCAGTTTGAACATTCTGATTCTGATTCATGAATATCAATAAATATTATAATGAAAACTAATATTAAAAGAGACAACATTTAATTAAATCCATTAAGTGCCATCTATCTGCTTGAATTTATAATCCCTGACTCGTGAACATAGTTGTCACATTGTGCTGATTAATGAATATCATTCCTCCTCTGACCAGTGCTATTGTTCCAGCAAGTGAGTCTCCAGTTGAGTCAGTGGGAAGCTGGAGTGATGGTACTGATGGGTTTCTAATGTCCTTTTGCATAATACCTAGCCAGCTCTGTGATTTGTGTAAACACCATATAATCTTTCACAAAGAGAGAAGACTTAAAGGGATGGTTCATCCAAAACAAACTGACATTTAATTTATTATTTAACGAAAATCCTGAGCATGTGTGCACTTGTGTTCTTTTTCTGGCCAAGCCAGAGTGAACCGCTACTCTCAATGTATTCTCACAAACGGCAAGGCCAAAATTTCGCTAAATGATACATTCCGGCTTGTTTTTCATTGTGTCTTCAGAACACTTGAAATATACAGCACGAGTCAAGTGGGAGTTTGTTGATGATACTGTTGCATTATTTTTTTAAAGAAAGTTGGTCTCCGTTCACTGCTGTTATATGTTTGAACACAAGCAAGACATTATTTTTTAAATATCTCCTTTTGTGATCCAGAAAAAAAGGCATTATGCATTAGAATAACACCAGGGTGAGTAAATACTCCAATGACTGAATTTTCATATTTAGGTGAACTATCTCTGTAAGTCTGACCTCCAAAAAAAAAAAAAAGGGTTTTAATGACTTATCCTCAACTACGAATTCATCACAATGCAAGCGAGTGATTTATTATTCTACACAGGTCAAGAAATCTTTCCACGTGGGTTAATTTTATTCCAAAAGGCTTACAAAGTCCATAATGTGGTTAAAGATATAACAGGAAGTCAAGAAACAAAAAAGTTGTGTCCAAATGAGTCAAACCTCTCGGTTGAAAGAAATTTTGTACATTAACATTCAATTATTTTAAACATCAAAATAATTAAAGAACACCAATTTGTGCCAACAATTCAATAATTCAACAAGAACAATATGAATGGCTCCAACAAGGGCTGTGGTTGGATTAGTAGTTCATGCAAATCATGCTAATGAGACTAGTCAGAATTGGAGGCTGTGCAGCCTGTTCTCATTTCACAATGTATACATAAATACGACATGCTTTATAAGAACATTTTGGACCGTTAGGCATGGATTTTTTCTAGTGTAGTCATGGGGGCTGATCTCTAAACAGGTTAATTGGATGTTTAAATCTGTAGCCTTGGGGTGACTGTATGGAAAGGTTTGTGAAACACAATATACTTCAACTCAACATCAATGACAAGACGGAAAGTCTGGCAGATAAAAGCACCGTCAATACAGTGTGTATCAGACACTTCCTGTGAAGTAATGAGTTCATGTTTTATCAGGTCCAGCATTTTTAGAGATCAGTCAGAGAGATTAAGAAAGAAAGAGCATGTCAGAAGGGGGAATCAGACCTGGTGAAGGCAAAGTAAAAACCTTAGAAATAATCAAAGAAAGGCAAGGCAGCACATAGTGCTCAATACAGTTTGTTTTTGAGTCTCTTTTGCTCATCAAGGCTGCATGTATTTGATAAAAAAATCTATTACAATTTAAAATAATGTTTTCTATTTGAGCACATTTTAAAATGTAATTTATTCATGTGATGCAAACAAAGCTGAATTTTCAGCAGCCAGTGTCACATGATCCTTTACGAATCATTCTAATATGCTGAATTGTTGCTCAATAAACATGTCTTATTATTATCAATCTTGAAAACCGTTTGATATTTGATTATTTTCTGTGGAAACCGATTTTAAATAGTTTTTCATAGAAATACTTTGTAACAAAGCAAATGTTTTACTGTTACTTGATCAACGTAATGCATCCTTGCTGAATAAAAGTATTAAGTTATTTAAAAACAAATCTTACTGACACCAAACCTTTGAAAGGTAACCATCTAATAAACAAATCCTGTCTTAAAGTCATGTCAGAATTATCATTTTTATGAGCTAAGTGCACATCAGTGCCATCACTATTATCTTTATTGTCAGCGAAGATGCTCAGAAATTGATTTTGGTCAGTATTAAGTTTTAATTGTCAGAAGCTTTGGCAGAAAATACCAGTCGTTTAGCTTAAGTTATGAGCTAAATGGCTTGGGTGAAAGAACTACTATTATTGACTACTTACGATACTATACTACCATTATCTAACGCACATGCTCTAAACTGTCCTTCAGTTCACTGAACTGAATTACATGGAAATAGGAGCAGCACTGACTACCTTAAGGAGGTACAGGATCAATAATTGCAAATACAGACATACCACTACATACACACATTCGTTCACAAACATACACTAATTAGCTTGCAATGTATATCTGCTAGCAAAGTAATGAAACTTTTTTTTAATCTCAGACCCACAGCATAAAGCAAAAATCACATTCCATTTTCCTCAGAACCAAAATGTACAGCACAAAACATTTGCATTCAGCTCTACATCTGTTCCTGAAGGCAAAAATGACTGGTTAAGCTGTTGATTTTGCACGGATTTGAGATCATTACTGAAACTGTGCCATTAGAGAGCTGGCATTTCATTCGACTGGTACACCAAACCTCACTAAATATGGTAATAATTTAGCTAGCAGTTGGAAGCGGTTTATTGATTTAGGTGTTGATGTAGATGTGTTTCTGCCATCCATTTGTGTACTTATGAATAATCCTATTTGTTTAATTAGTGTAACTGGGCAGCAGGGGAGGGAGTCAGGGCCAAAATCGAGAGAGGCTAAAGCCTGTGTTTTATTGGATTTAATTTACTTTATTTTATTTTTTGCCAGTTGTATATTTAAAGCAGACAGGGCGCGAGAGTGCAAAGAAATTTCACTGCCAAAAGCTCCACAACCACACACACAACAAGCCCTATTTTATACTGATTTGGCCTCTCATAAATGTGCTGACAATAAATTAAAAAATATATTTATACCCAGTAGGTTTTCAAGCTTGCAAATGAATTCAAAGTAATAATTTGTGTATTAAATAGAACTACACTTGCAGAAACCTTTGAATTGAGTCCGATTACTGCTGAAAATAGACGAAAACATAATATGAATCTCAATATAGTGCTGCTTTTTACATTACAGCAGACAAAAATGGTCATTAACCAAAGTTATGAATATTCATGGTGCACATCTGTAGTAGACTGTGCAGGTTCTGCCAACAGAGGTCACACACAAAACTAAAATAATTTCTCACCGAGCTCAGCCAAACTGACTTTCACCATGACTAGCTCAAAGGTCAACAGCAGATATCATTCATCTTTTACAAGCAGGCTGGACCGTCGGGCTCCTGTGTGTGTATGTGTGCACTGCACAAACACATTTCCAATTCCATCTGAGCATAATCAACAAAACAAGACAGTACCAGTTCAGAATATTTCTTAGCCATATCATCTGACATGATTCAGTCATCGCTTATGCATGTAAGTATAATTAGATGACAGGTTAGTCAAAGCCCATACTGTATTTAGCACTGCGTATAGCCATTAAGTTCAGGTAAGTGGGTAACAATAGCAACAGTGTGGCTTATTGACAAATTACCAATGACAACAACACATTATTTAACATTTTATTGTAGCTTTACATATCACAAGTATATTAAGAAACGTTTGTAAAAAAAAAAAAAAAAACTGTCTGGAAAAGTCACCACAGTGTGGCTTATTGACAAATTACCAATGACAACAACACATTATTTAACATTTTATTGTAGCTTTACATATCACAAGTATATTAAGAAACGTTTGTTAAAAAAAAAAAAAAAACTGTCTGGAAAAGTCACCAATCCTCAAAGGGCCAAGCAGTGAAAACACAGTCCTTTAGAGAAATATACTTGAGTGTTTCTCTAATTAATCTGGAAAAAAAGTCATAAAACAATATTGAAGTGAATTATTTGTCACTACATTTCTGACAAAATGTCAGTTGCGGTCAATGTGGCGACTACAGTGCTCAAACAGAGGAAATATTGAAAAAATGATGTGTGCATGTGATCTACTTTGGCTGAGAAACTTTTGGCACCCTGAACAAACTTCGCACATTTCCTCTCATACAATGTGTGTGATTGAATGATGGCACTGTTTTAACGTTCAAAGAACAACAAACAAGAGGAAATGTTTTACTACACCTCTGTATCACCATACTGACATGAAAAACACTGCTGCCCATCCGTTCAGTGTGTGTATGTGTGTGTAAAAGTCAACTGTCCTGAAGAGCTCTTCTATAGAACCATTCAAAATTCTTGTTTCACATCACAATCATCACGAATAACAATGTTTTAAATGAAGAGCAATCATATCTAAACTTTAAAGATGCCTTTGAACACATTTAAAACATGCCTTAAACTAAAAAGTGAGCTGCTGACCTTAAAGAAATTCAAATCCGTAAATAAATTAACAGTGCCGTGCATTGACCTTGACTAGATGAGCCAAATAACGTCATTTGTCTCAAAGCAGCCAAGGGAAAAAGTGTGTGAGAGAGTGTGTGTGTGCGCCCAGAGACGCAAGTCACACATAACTCACTCATCTTGTTCATATAACAATTTTGGGTGTTACCTCAGAAACACAAGCCTTGAATTTTCCATCCATCACTTTCCTAAGACACAGTCTAATCCATATCCTTAATATATGTCATTTCACCTCTCACTTTAATGAAGGAATGATCAAAAAAGTTGTAGATGGTAATTTAAGTGCTTAATGAACTAATTTACCGCATTGTTAGGCACAATAAGAGCAGGTTGTTCCACAATTGCTGCTGTTAATGCAGTTGAGGAAAGATTTCAGAGGTCACTGGGAAATTAGGCCCTGACAGGCAGAATGATTAGACATGCTAGAGATTACCTGTCTCTCTCTCTCTCTCCCTTTATCCGTGTGGTGTCAGTGTTCTGGCACACTGTAATGTTATGCTGCTGATGAACCAACACATGTTGACCTCATCTGTCCTGTCTAGTATTACCTATAATTGGAGGAGGAGAAAGAAAGCGAGGAGAGCATTAGTTTTCATACTGGATTCAAGATGACAAAATGACGTCACAGAAATATAGGCCCTTTTCAACATTTATTTAACCCTCTATGGTACGCATTGTTATTTTGGAATTTATTTTATTTAAATATAAACAAAAAAATAATAATTAAAGGGGAAAATGTTGGGAAATACTGACATCACAATTATTGTTGTATACTGTACATACAGTATACACACATATACTGCAAAGTATCAAATATACTTTAACCTTTTTTTTAATAGAACATAGCTGTGCAGAGTTTTCTTTCTTCAAAGCATTAAACATATATCATAATTATATTATTTTTGCATAATTATTTAGAAAATAACTAATGAGGAAATCTGCCATGCAACGGCAAAAGACTGTAGCTTCGATTTTGGTCGAAAATGAGTTATTCATATTTTGGGGACATTCAAGACATCCTTTATCATGTGCATAAGTATCTTGAGTCAATTGTGTTGTTTTTCCGAGAAAATAATGGGTTGTCTTAACCATAATTTCGAAAAGCCCCAGAGAAATTAAGGCAGAACACCGTATAACACCAGTTACTGCTCTTTGATTTTGTTTGGAACTCTCAAAATGAGTTGTGGCGTTCTGCCTGTGTTTAGCAGCGTGTCAATATGAAGTTCCGGTGCCGGTGTTCTGACAATTTGTGCTACCAGCATCTTATTCATGTGGTTTGAGGCTTTTTTTAATGTCCATACCTACCCCTACCCTAAACATACCCGTCCACACCTACCCTTACGTTAAAACTTACCCTTAAAACAATGTAAATATATTTTTGGTAGCACAATCTCATAGGTAGCATGTTTCATCGGTACACCGGCTTGGAGTTATACGGTGTTCTGCCTTTTTTTTTCTGTCAATTAAAGTCTTCCGCATTTTAATTATGGTGTAACTTGTATACTTTCACACATCTGATCTGTCACTGAAGCACTTTATTAGACAAATGAATTAGATAGATTGCGATCTCCCAAACAGCTCTATATAACAAAGCACTGTAAAGACTAGATACCTTGGCAGCAATACGTAATCGTGAATAAGCTTTAAAGATTTTTTTTTTTATTATTTTTTCATTTTTGTAATGCAGATTATTCACCACTGTCACTTCTAGTTGGACGCGTGTGGACTCGAATGCCGTAGCATGTAGCATGATCAATCATAAAATCAGTACTAACAGTTCGCAATTAAATCCATATCCTACCTTTTCTTGTAACCCGATAAAATCAATCCATGGCAATGAACGTCATCGGAGATGTTTAATCCACAAGCATTCTGAGCATTTGTCGTTCTTTTAGGTTAGGCTATTTCATTCAAGTCAATATAAAAGCAATTATGCTATTTCTAGCATTCTTTTACATTACTGAGCATAGCAAATAAATTGGTTGCAAAACGGTATCCACTCACATGTTTAACTTTTAGTCTGCTTGTTACGGTCAAAAAAACAACACATTACTATATGTCTATACTATACATTACTATACAGTCACATTACTATATGCAATAGCCTATATGAGATAGCCCATGATCACTAGATTTATACAAGTGTTACTATAACGATTCTGTAAATGGTGATCAGCAACCAAATATTGATAATGTGGAAGTTACTGCCTTTTGCCTTGGTATGATTTCTCACTTTTTGCAGACAATGCAATGTACAGCAACTTCAAAATAGGGGTAAAAATCAAGTCTGAGCTCACAATTTTTTAATGTAGATCATTTTCATTACTAAAACATCTAATTGGAAAATTTTCAGTGTCCTACCTATAATTAATTTGGCTGGACAAATAATAATAAAAAAAAAAACTTTAAAGTCATTTTTCTCAGTTTCACACTCTTTTGCCTTTGTAGGGCAGAAATGACTAATGACTAGTTATGCTTTTTCACTTTTTGAATTTTAGTCAGTGTGTATGTTTGGGCATAAAAAAAATCTACAAAGTTACAAATCTCAAAGTCCACTCCAAAGGGAGATATTTCGTTTAAAAAAAAAATCCCTTTTCAAGAACTACAACGAATGGCTCGTTTGGACTATAGTGTTGTTTTACGGGTTTTTTGTGATGTCACAAAGCGGCCCATTAGAATATCATTAAAATAATTCCGGCCTTATGGAAATTCGAATGGTTGGGGGGTGGGGAGGGGCGAGGTCGTGGTTAGAACGCTTGGTTGAGTTCATCAGACAAGACGACGACGACGAAGAAGAGCTGCTGTATCGTCAAGATTTCACAAGTTATTACACATGCACCTGAATAATTATGTATGTACATATGTATGTTACAATTAGGAAAACGTTTTTATAAATAGCTGACAGTACAATACTGGACAATGACGTGATCTGCAGAATTTACACTTTAATTATGAGACTTATGGTATAAATAAATTCAACTGTATAACAGTTTTACTGCAATTCATGTTATAATGTTAGAATTAAAGAACAATAAACATGAAACATATATATTCATACATATCATACATAGTAAATGCAGTTATTTTTAAGTGGTTGTTGACATCCTATCTAAAACGTGTTTTAGCCAAAAAAAACAAAAACAACAACAATAACGTTACCACTCTAATATGTCTTGCAATATCCGTGCGTGCAAAGGTTCTGCATGATCCTCTTTTTCAATATTCACAGGGTCTGAATCCGGCTCAAATTGTTATGGCGATATTGACGCCATACTTAACTATACCAGAGCAGACGGAACTTTCTGCTTTGGCAAGGGGCGGGGCAGTAGTATATGTGAAAAATGACACCAAGCATGAGAGCATGTTCTAGTACACCCCCAAAACAAAATTAAGACTTTGTAAAAGAGCATAATAGGACCCCTTTAAGGAAAATTCTGCAGAAATGGTAAGAGATTTGATTCAGGGGAATATGTCATATGTAACACAAATGAAAAATAAGAATATGTGGGATGAAAATGATGTCTTTGGTTTTGACATACATCTTTCAAAAATTGTCCAGTACAAAAAAAATACAAAAAATACCTCCCTCCCTGCTAACTTTCCACATTGATCCAGTCTGATTACTCTAAGTGCTTTGATGCTGGTCTAAATGATATACAGCCATGCTGTTGACCAGCAAAACTGAACTGATCAACCACAGTACATTAGCAAACAGCACTAAATATTTTGTGATATAGTGCGTGTTTTGTGGAGAGAAAGAAATATTGCCTGTCAATTGCATGACGCAAGTGTGATGAGTGTTCTGAATGCTCATGTGCTTCATTTGCTCTTGATGGCCAATAACATCAGCAACAAACATTTAGCCGTTTCAAACCAAGTCCTCTGTAACATCAGCCATTACTGGACAAGGACAACACAACAACCGTACACACACATACATGAACACTAGAAGACTAATACTGTATAATCCAGACATCCACTCTCATGTGCACACTGTTTTCTCATTAAAGCCATGTATTTTACTACTCTCATAAAGCGTCTTAGATGTGACCTTGGGAAGGACTGTTCAGAAATGATGTAATATTAGTTCCAATAAAAGGTGTGGAGAATACATTCATAAAGACTCCCAACACATATTAATAGTAAAATGTGCCATTAAAACAACGGGCAGATTTTTACAAAGTGCGCTTTGTCCTCTGAGGGCTAAGGCAATCTATTAAAGAACAAATGTTCACATGTTAAATGTTCACATGCCCTTGACAAATGAAAAGACAGAGTGTGGATTTTAACACAGATGCAAGAGTCCTTCCATACCAGAGTAAATGTACAAAAGTATTCTTGAGCATTTAGTGTGATGATATGCCAACACAAAAGAAGATATACTGCAGAATGTCCTTTTGCTCTTTTCCATACTACAAAAACAGATGGTGACTGGTGCACTCAAGCTCCAAATGTGACAATAAAGCACTGTAAAAAGCACCATAAAATAATCCAGACTGGTATAAAGTAACTAAATAGTAATTAAATTGGAATTGGAATTGGATTTGAGAGAACGACAGAGATGGTGCAGAAATATATGAGTATTGCAGCAGCAGGGCTGATGTTCAAATGAAGTGAAGTGAAATGAGAAGAATGCAGCTTTGAGTGATGCACAGGAAGTGGATTTCATTCTGTTCTCTGCTTCCACAGACTGATAGCTGAGAGGCAGGTATCCATCTTCACCTGTCTTCATTTAAACTCACACCTGATTGCCTGTAGCTACATCCTATATGAATTACCCATCTGTGCATGTCTACGTTCAGAATTTGTGAATTGGCTTCCTTTCTTTTTCATATGTTGGAATTTAAATCGAATGAACCAATTCAACTTCAAAGAAATTCAAAACAATTAAAGGTGGGGTAAGCGATTTCTGGTAGCCAATGTTGACATTTGAAATCACTAAAGCAAGCACACCCCTACCCCAAAAGGGTCTCGCCCCTATTTTGATAGCTCCGCCCCACACATACGTACGCAACCCAGGCAACGATTAGTTCTGTGAAACAAAGCAAAACCAATGTTACACCGTGTCTACACCGGACGTGAGTGGCACGGCGCGACAAAATACTATAGAACTCATTATAATCAGTAATACTGTCTACACCATAGATATATATACATATGTATGGTCTACACTGGATGCGGCGCGACACGACACGACAAATCCCCGACAGAAAACTGCTGCTGCATTCTATTCATGACGTATTGACACAATTTCAAATGATTTTCAACGGTCGCTTTGTCGCGTCCAGTGAACTAGACAGACTTTAGCTGTTGCGGCGCAGACACGGTGTTACTCACCTATCAAGAAGAAACAAAGCAACCTCGGCGTCCGATCGATCGCAGGCCTTCCGCTCCTTGAGTTCTCTCCAGCGCTGGAAAGCTGATCAGATATTTACATGGGTCCTACTTCTTGCCTTATCATAGTGATGTTACTAGATATATATACATATCTATGGTCTACACTGGATGCGGCGCGGCACGACACGACAAATCCCCGACAGAAAACTGC